CTCCTGCATTCTCTTTTAATGTGGACTACTAATCAGCATCAGGAGCACAGCAGCTCCTCAGGGAATGCTGCTAGACACAGAGCAAGGGGTTGGGAATGTGGTAAGTTTGTTTTAAAGGTTTTAACGTTTAACTCTTTCAAGCGTCTACATTGAACTTTAAAACTCAATTGTGGTTAAATGCCAAATTTCTTCCAATCTACTCAAGAGTTAGCTTCAGTTAATTAACTAGGTAGCTTGTTATTTTAACAGCAGTGCTATTTCATCCCTGTATTATTTCAATGCATAAATGCAGGTGATTGTTCCAAGTGCACACAGTCAGCAGCACAATGACAGTAGCTTGTCACTGAGTGTAGTTAGACACAGAAGGATAGCCTAGGAACTTGGTCAGGGAATTTAGTGCAGTGATGGAGGAAACAACTGGCAAATTAACTAGCCATAAAGAAATAACATGAGAGTAGCTGGTGAGAGTGGCAGAAGGTCACAGACTTCAAAAAGTGCAAGTGGGAAGAGAGGGCTATTTAGTCTAGACTTTTGCTTGAAAACCGTCACATCACAGAAAAGCAATTTTGTTGATGAGCATTTTGATTGTTTCCTTAAAAACGTCCATAATTTATTAATGACCACAAAGAGGGAATGGTGAGAAAGTCATAATTGATTGATTTAGAGTATCTACTACAAAGGTCTGCATGCAAATAGCTAAATTAATTCACTATTTTTAAAAAAGTTACAAGAAAGAAGAAAGATGGAACAAGAAAGAGCTGATTGATGGGAAAGGCTGAGTCACTTTACTTCCCTCTCTCCAGTTTATAGTAAATAGTTCAAAAGTAAAATAAAGGCATGGCAGACAGCTTGATCACATGAAACCCCAATTCAGTGGCATGAGGAGTCATGGATGCTTTATGTGACTTAGGCGAACAAGTACAGAGTGTCACCACCTTCAAAATCTTTGAGGTCCATGTTTCAGACTTTGTATGACAACTAGAGCCATTATGGCACATATGAAAGGCATATTCCAGGAGGTGCTCACACTGCAGGTGAGGAGCATGTAGACAGAGAATCGTGATTGCCAGAGATAGGAGCCTGAGTCTATCTGCCTCACTAACATATTTTTCATTTTGGATACTTGTGAAGGGCAATGATTCCTTCGAAGAGCCAAATCAGTGGCACCACGAGTGGCTTCGTGAGGCTTGTGGAAAAAGGAGACAGGCATTTACGTGGACATAAACATGAATCAAGGATGATATGTTGCCTCTCCAGTGTCAGTGTCAAGGATGTCACAAATCTAATGCACGGCATCCTCTTGGGTGAAGGGTGAGCAGGGCAAACAGTAAGGGTAATGTAGGGCATGGGATAAATCAGGAAATTAGAGATTCTCATAATAAGAGTAATGCAGTAATCACTGGTAACTTGGGAACAGGCTATTTTAGTTCTGGCATTTCTCCCTCGCATTGTGTAATTAATAATCTCGCTGTAAAAGGAACATTTAGGGAACAGTGACCATAATACACCAATTTTAGATTAAGTTTGAAAGTGACGTAGTTCCATGCAAAACCAGTCTTAAATAAAAATAAAGGAAATTATGAGGTACCGGGTGGCTCTAGTGGATTAGGAAAACATAATTGAAAGATATTATAATAGGCAAGCAATTGTCAGTACTTAAAGAACTAAGTGATTTACAATAAAACATACATTGACTGAAGGCCATAAACACCTAACAGGTAAAGTGAGCAACCATAAGTAACAAAGAAAATTAAAGATCATCTTAGATCAAATAGGAGACAGTTTATAAGTTGCCAAAACAAAGGTAGTAAGCTTAAGGACCAGAAGCATTTTAGAATTCGAAGTTCAAAGAAGAAACTGAGAAAAAGCATAATGCGAGTGTAACTAGCAAAACACTAAAAATGTAATCTAATTTGGGCAGCATGGTGGCTCAGTGGTTGGCACTGCTGCCTTACAGCACTGGGGACCGGAGTTCAATCCCATCCTAGGGCGACTGTCTGTGTGGAGCTTGCACATTCTCCCCATGTCTGTGTGGGTTGACTCCCACAGTTCAAAGATGTGTAGGTTAGGTGGATTGGCCATGCTAAATTGCTCAGTGTTCAGGAATGTGCATGCTAGTTGGATTAGCCATGGGAAATGCAGGGTTACAGGGGTGGGATGTGGGCGAGTCTATGTGGGATGATCTTTGGAGGGTTGGTGTGGACTTGATGGGCCAAATAGCCTGCTTTCACTCTGTAGGGAATCCATGAAAGGATTTGGAACATATTTAAAAACAGAAAGACAAATGCAGGCCCATTACAAAGATGGGAGAATCTCTGATTGATACGACAGAGAAGTAATTGCTTTTTGCATGTCTTCAGAGGAACATACCGTCACATCCCAAAAGTAATAGATTCAATTGACTATTGAGAATGAGGAAGTGAAAGAAATTAGCTTTAATAAAAAGAAAGTGGCTTTGAAGAAGTTAATAGCGTTGAAAGCTATCAAATCTTCAGGACCTGATGATCTACATTCCAATGTTGGCTTGAAAGATGCATTGATAATCATCTTTCTAAATTCTCAACTTTCCAGAATGGTGCCTACAGACTGGAAGGTTGCCAAAATAAAAATGTTTTTAAGAGTGGGGGAGACAAAGACAGATATTTGTAACTAAATTCCAACTTTGCAGATAACACAAAACTAAGTGGGAATGTCAGTCATGAGACAGATGTCAAGAAGGCTTGGACAAGCTGAGTGTGTAGGAATATGGTCGATGGAAGAAAGTGCGGCTATATACGAGGTTATCCACATTAGGAGGAGGAACAGAGGAGCACAGTATTTCTTAAACGAAAAGGGATTTGGAAGTGTTAGTCTCTCAAAGTTAATGCTGGTGCAGCAGTTAAGTAGGAAAATGGCATGTTGGCCTTCATCACAAGAGTATGAGTACAAAGTAAGGACATCTTGCTTCAATTGTATTGTGACACTATGAGACCACACGTGACTAGTGTACAGAGTTTTGGTCATCTTACCTTAATAAAGGCATACTTCACATAGAGGGACAGCAGAAGTTCACTAGACTAGTTCCTGAGGAGGCACTACACTCATATGAAGAAATATTTAGAAGATTAGATCTGCAGAGTTTAGAAGAAAGAGAGAAGATCTCACTGAAACTTACAACATTCTTAAAGTTTAGACGGGATAGATGTAGAAGGGATGTTTTCCATGACATTGGTAGGAGTCTGGAAAGTGATACAGAATAAGGGTCAAGTCAATTAGGAACAAGCTGAGGAATAATTTCTTCATCCATAGGATAGGTGCTCTTTGGAATTCTCTACCCTAGCGGACTGTGTAAGCAATGTGATCAAATATGTTCAACATAAAAATGAATAGATTTCTAGATAATCATAATATCAATGGACTACACAGGAATATAGTCTGAGGTAAATGTTAAGCTATCACCTACCCCAATAAGGACATCATAGTATAAGGCTGTGATTAGATTAGACTTGTATCTATGAATTTTTTGCAGGGTTATGGACTTTTTAAGAATCCATTTAAGTGATGTAGACACATATTCATTGCCCAACCCTAACTGTCTACTCAAGTAGCTGCAATCCATTTTGGTGCAGGGCCACATACAACGCTGTTAGGGAAGGAATTCCAAGATTTTGACCCAGTGACACTGAAACAATGTTGATATTTTTCCCAAGTTACCATTGAGAGATGCTTGAAGGGTAACTTTCAGGTGGAGATTTTCTTATGTATCTGATGCCCTTATCCTTTTAGATGTCAGTAGTTGTGGGTTTGTAAGGAGTTATCTAAGGAGCCTCTATGAATTTATGCACTGCATCCAGTAGATGGTGCATACTGCTGCTACTGAAAATCAGTGAAATTAGTGGATATTTGTGAAATGTGGTGCCAACGAAGCAGGCGACTTTGTCCTGGATGTTGTTAAACATCTAGAGTGCTGTCGGAGCTGCATTCATCCAGGCAAGTGGGGAAGTCAGATGGGGGGTTACTTGCTGCAGTAATCCTAGGTTCTGACCTGCTCTTTAGCCACTGTATTCATATGGCTAGTTCCACAAGAACAAGTGGTTAAATTGAACTTAAACACACAAGATGTAAGGTCTAACTAACCAGTTTCCCACACCCTTGCAGAGTATTTGCAGCAGAGAAACATCTTTTGGCCCACCTGATTCATGTCAGTGTTTATGCACCATACTAATATCCTCCCAAATTCCAGCTGTATAGAGATGGGGTGTATCAATCTATGTCTCACATGCAATCCTCCATCGAGCAGAAGGACTCAATTCACAATCTTTCCCATATAATATTCTACAATTGATCATTAGTAATAAAAGCATGGCCTGAAATATGCATCTAGCCTCTAGTCAACCCCCTTCCTCAGTGGAGATACTAACTCATGAAATGAAGCATGCAAATACATGTTCACATCTCATGACTGAGGCACTGAAATATAAATTGTCACAGCCAAATTTTTAAAAATGATTTTCTTGCCCCCATCATCTGCTGAATCATGCTTTAAACCCTATTAAGAATGATAGTCCAATTATTGAACTTTTTTTGCACCATTTCCAAAGTATATCAGAATGAGGTCCATCTGTACTTGCTGCTCACTTAAAACATTTCTCTAGTACTGTACCTGAATGAGATAATTATCTTAATCACATTTCAGTTCGAGTGTACAGAATCTATTCTGCATACTTTTAAACTGCTTATGTATTTTGTGTACATTTAAACTAATAAAAAATGAAGCAGCATTAGGGAATACTTGCAACTTTGCTCTATTAATGCAGCCAAAACAAATCAAGTAAATCAAGAGTTAAAATGCAGCTGCAAAGCATTTATTGCAGTCTACACCTGAACAACATAATTGCATCAGGCCTTTTCACGTGAAAGATTTATAATGTTTCAACTTAAACAGAATTATTGACTTCAGATACTACAACACTTTTTAAAAGAGAACTATGCTAGGCTATAAAATAAAGGAGGAAATAGTATACTTTGCGAACATTTTATTTATACTAGTTGCTTAAAAGATAAAATGCATACATTACTTGCTCCATTCAGAACTGGTGACATTTTGTCAAAAGTGTTCTACTCCAAACAGATTTCCATTGCTGTCACACAGAGTCAATGCCATTCCCATCATCAATCCAACAGGGGCTAAAAACATGTCAGATTGCCGGACTCACAATGTGTCTCATGTTAACATCTTGCTACTTCAATAGCATAAATTTAAACAATTAGTTGGTCTTTGTTTGGATAGCATTTAATTGATTAATACAGATGAAATTTTTCACATCTACATGTAGTAACTATTTTCACATCTTTTCCCTTTGATCTTAAGTGAAGTGCTGTCACTCATAGCTCTCCTGCACAATTCAATCTTTCATTTCCAAAGGATTATATTGCAGATGCTATATTTTTTCCATTGTTTAAATTTAAAAGGTCAGTTTTCCAAGCCTACTTTGTTATTTTGTTCAGACAATATGAAACAAGGTCTCAAAAATCTGACAGGATTGAAGTAAAAACTGAGATGTGTCATGTGTCAAACTGGAAGTTTGTTTTTAAATCAGATTTTCAAGTTGGATGCTTTTAACTTTTAAAGTAAAAACATATCCTTGAATTTAAATGTAGATTGAGTAAGACATTTATAACTCTCAAAACATCCACAATGCATAATACAATTTTTACAAATCAGTATTTTTTTTCCCCAATTCAAAGAATTAAACTATTTCTTAGTAGCATGAGACAGGCACTCAATTATTTTAACCTCAACATTATTTTATCCTAACCCCTGCAAAGTCAATGCATGATCTCTTGCACATTAGTTTTAATAAATAGCATATCCAATGCAACTCTACTGTAAGAAAAAGGGCTGTCTTTACTATTCCTAGATAGGCATTTCAGATTTTTATTATATACTTTTTGTTTTTAACTATCCTAATAATACTTCATTCCTAGTAGTCTCTACAAATGGTGCCGAAGCATATAGTATAAAGATTTGCAAAATGTGCACACACATACATCAAAAGGGAGAGCTAAAAAAAAGTTTATCAGCAATTTCCCTGCCTCTCCCCGCCACCTTAGCAAACCACCTTAAAAACTTTACAATAGTATGTCACTTGCAGCAATAGCTAGTAACCAGAAAGCAGAAGTTAATCCAGATTCAACTTAGATGAAGAGGAGCAAGCAAGAAAGAAAATCTGTACTGGTGTTATGATTCACTACATTCCTAGATTCCTAAAGTTCCAACACTACAGACCTTCCATCTGGCAGACAAGCATTTCAAAGGCATAGTAATTGGTTTTGTTATTCAGATTTAAAAAAAATCAAAATTGGTAGCTCCTGATCTGCATTTTTAACTCCTGTAAAAATTACGAACACGTGTTTCATAAAAGATGCAATTTGATTTACATTTGGTTTCAACAAGAATTGGGACATTAATACATTTCACAGAAACCAATCAGCAGATATGTTGAACAGCAGCAAATACAATAGTACTCCTAAATGAATACTCAGAAGTTGTCTCTAGAATTTCATTAACCTGAAATGTTCACAGGCACACAATCTTGGTGCATCTTCCCTCTTGTCCAACTCGGATCTCAGCAAATAATGGTAAGCATATGAAACCATTGTATAATGTCCACCTGTACTGTGAAAAGATTTAACGGCACAACCACAAATTTTTAACCATTCTAATTTGGGCTCCATGTGCTCAGATATTTGCATTCTGCAACACTGATGGTAATAATAGTGAAAGTAATTTCAGATAATGACATACAAGAAGCATTTTGGTACTCAATATATTAAATAAACCAAGTAGTACAATGCAGATGGTCTTTTAAAAAACTCAACCTACCATTTCTACAGTTTAAGAATGTGTTAAAAACACATAGGGTAAAGATAAAATTTGATCTGGCTACAAAACACTGGTGTTGATCTTAACAAAATGTAGTCATCTAATGCCAAAAAAAATGCATTCCTCACAGGAAATATCATGACAAAAAAAACCTTTTATCATCCCTAACATAGTATACACAAATTTTTTTTTTTGGGGGGGGGTGTGTGTGTGTGTGTGGAGGGGTGGAAGAAATGACACCAAGAGAAACGAGCAGATGTTTCAGCATCAGATGCACCAGAATAGCATAAGAAAATGTTCCACGCTTTTAGTGTTATGAATAAGATCTGGAATTCTGTAAAAAAATATACGGCTTTTTAAATTTTTCTTCCAGATCAGAAACAAGCATTTCTTAAACCTCCCATCTCTGGTCATAAGCTGTGCGTAATTTGAAAACTTTGGCCAAAGCAGCCGATGTTAGTAAACAATGGCTAGACCCACATGCAAAAAAAGAAATTTAAAGAAAAATAAAGAAGCGAAGTACATTATTGAAGGTGATGAACAAACTGTACAATACAAACGCCCCTCTGTAGAGGAGCTCTATCTTAAGGGTGCACTATAAAAAGAAAGTCTTTTTTTGAATAAAGTGCAAATACAGGTGTTCTTTCAAATAAAGAAAGCCTGGATCTGTAAAGTGTGGCTAAAGAGAGGCCACATAGCTGTAATGCATGTACATTTTTCAAAATGAGGTTGCCATCCATCTATTTTACAACCTGTGTTTGACTGCTCTGGAAATTTCAAAAATGTAAACCAGAATACAGTTTTTTTTCTAAATCAAAACAAGTATGTTCCCCCACTTAGTTCTGCTTTTTCTGGCATGGAGGTATTAGTTATTAAGGTTTTCAATGCATTACGAGCAACTTGATCAGAACTTAAAACAATGATACCCTCACACTGCCCACATTTTAACCCAGCCCTTCAGTTCAGTTTTGGGCTTGGAGAAAGGTGGCTAAGCTAATCACCTAAATAGCTCTGCGCAGCACCAAATTAAGCAATTTCACAGCATTTGAATGTAGAATAACCATTATTGGTAACTACTACAGTCTCGATTATGTAATACAGGCTGTGAATCATACTGTGGAGTATCAAAGTGATGAACAAAGACACAAGCTTGAATACTGAGTTTTTTTTTTGTCAAGAGAAAATAAACAGTAGTTTTGCTGTTTGCTTTTTTTTCCTCCCATATCGACCAAAAAGTTTATGTTCTCAAAGAATATGCTGAACAACGGTAAAATACATCACTTTATTAACAAGGTTGAATTCTAGTCTTCTCCCCACCCCACCAAAATAAGACAATGGTTGTTGCAGAACAACTCAGTCCAGAGGCTGTGGTTCTGCAATCGGCATGGTGTGAAGTACTTCATCCAGCAGCTGAAGGGCACGATGTAGGTGAATTTCAATCCAACATGGGGTTTCTTTGATGCTCTGCCTTGGGTAGTCAGGTCCCCAGCCTTTAACAAAACTCATCCTGAGAATACAAAGCCGGCGCAGGTCATCGACTCCGATTCCCGCTGCAGCAGACAAACCTGAAAATGAAACAAAGATTAATGCAACTGCTTTAACTAAAGGCTTCACAAAATTTAATTCATTAGGATTAAGATTCTTGGAAATAAAAACACAGAACTTGAATGAAATCATGTTGGGCAACACATGAAAAGAAAACATGTTTTGTGTCCAAAATCAGAATGGTTACAGCAGTAAAGGAGGTCATTTAGCTAATCATGTTGCTGCCAGAAGAGTAACATTCCTAGCTAGTCCTACCTCTTTCCTATAGTTCCCCTGCAACACACACCCTACCCAAAATAAACAGTTTCTCCACTTTTGCTCCATCCAGAACCATAAAGTTTGAAAACCTCTGAAATATCCTCTTAATTTTTCCTTCTGTTCTGAACCCAACTGATGGTAATATAACACTAGTCAGATCCCAGAGTAAAACCTCTTGTTTACCACAGTTTTCAGACACTGAAAATATTCACGACAGGCTGCCAATGTACATTTGAGAAAAGAACAAAGTTTATTACACACAGAAAACATTATCCAAGAACTAGTTGGAAATCTTTACAGAAACTTAAACATGAGTGAAGGGTCATCCATATCCACACGACAGCTTCCAGTTCAGCTGGCATGGCTGTGATCAGTTTCTTTTTCAATAAGGTTTCAACATTCACGTCGCACAATTTTCTTTAGTTAATGTCTCTAACTAAGATCCTTAATTACGCTGCAAACCATAAAGGGTTAGAAAAGTAGGCCATTCAGCTCACTTATTATTTAATACGCCTTCCTAGCTGATACCTTCCCCTTTGACACCTCAAAAGACTTTGGCTTCTGGCTTTTTCTTTTCAGCAATGCAGGACTTCTCCCCTTCTGCTTTAACTGTTTTGGAGACTGCTAAACTAACAGTACCTCTATTTTTAAAGACCTTTTCTCTCTGGCTGAAGTGATTTCTGGCTGAAAAAATCAATTAGACTGACTAAAAAGCGACCTAGAAATATAAAAACAGAGAACAGGAGTTTCTATAAGCATTTGAAAATAGAAGAGCTAAAGTGATGCCGATCCTATCAAAAGTGAGTCGAGAGAATTGATATGGAAAATAAGATGGCAGCAAATGAACTGAAGAGGTATTTTTTACCGTTCTCCACTATTGAGGATAGAAGTAACACCCCAGAAACAGCTATAAATTGGGAAATGGAAAGGAATGAGGAAACCAAAAACAAAGTCGATTGGAAAAGTAAATTTTGGAGCTGCAATTTAATAAGTATCTTGTCCCTGACGTCCTAGGGTCTTGAAAGAAGTGGTTAGTGAGATAGTTAATGCATTGGTTTTAATTTTCCAAAATGCCCTTGATTCAGGGACAGGCCTATGAGATTGGCTTTCAGTGAACATAATTTGTATGAAAAAGTGAGGGGGACAATAACCAGGAAACTACAGGCAGTTACCTTAACATGCGTCATAGAAAAAAATGTTACAAGGCATTATTAAAGAAATTATAGCAGGATACATGGATAAGTTCAAGGTAATCAGGCAGAATTAATTTGGATTTATGAAGGGGAAATATGTTTAACCAATCTATGGAGTTCTTTGAGGCAACAAAGGGCATAGGTTTAAGGTGAGAGGGAAAAGATTTAATAGGGACCGGAGGGCAACATTTTCATGCAGAGGGTGGTGCGTCTATGGAACGAGCTGCCAGAGTTGGTGGTGAAAGTGGTTGCAAATACAACATTTAAAAGGTATCTGGAAGGGTGTGTGAATGGGAAACGTTGAGGGGGATATGGGCCAAATGCTGGCAAATGGGACTAGATTAGTTTAATTCTGCTGGCCTCAGATGAGTTGGACCGAAGGGTCTGTTTCCGTGTTGTATAACTCTATAACATGTAATGTGGATAAAGGGAGTTCTACTGTACTTGGTTGATAAAGTGCAACATCAAAGGCCATTGCAGCAAATGAAAACTTAGTGTTGCAGGAAGCATGTTGGCATGGAAAACAGATCAGCTGGTTAGTAGACATAAATGGCTCTTTTTCAGATTGCCAAGATGTAACAAGTGATGTCCTACAGGATTGGTGCTGGAACTTGAACTGTTTACAATTTATGAAAATGGCACAGATGAAAGTATAGTTGTCAAATTTGCTGATAACACAAAGGTACACAAGTTGTGAAAAGAGCACAAGTATAAAGGGATATAGATAAGTTAAGGAACAAGAAAATAGTTGGTTAGAAATATAGCTGTGATTTAATATGAGACAAAGGGGTCATCTGTGCATACGGCCAGAGGACACGGTTGAGGTCTTAAATGAATATTTCTCATCTGTATTCAAAGGAGAAAGGTATTGTAGCTGCAGACTTCAAGTTGGGATGGTGAGGTTTGACAGCACGTTAAGATTAATAAGGACGAGGTATTAGATGTTTTAGTAGGCATAAAGACACATAAATCCCTACAGCCTGATGAGGTGTATCCAGGTTGTGGGAGGCAACGGAGGAGATTGCTAGGACCCTGGTAGGGATATTTAAAACTGTGCTGGCCACAGGTGAAGTGTCAGGTGACACTTTGTTCAAAAGGGGAGAAAGGATAGGCCAAGTAATTATAGATCAGTTTGATCTGATATCAGTGTTGGGGGTTTTATTGGAAAGGGGTCTGATATACGCAATTGATCAACACACGGGGCTATCAAGAATAGTCAGCATGAATTTTTTTGTTTTAGAGGAAGATGCTATCTGCCTAATTTACTTGAGATTTTTGAAAAGGTGACTAAACATATTGATGAGGGTATGCAGTTGATGTGATTTACATGGACTTCAGTAAGGCCTTTGACAAGGTTCCACATGGAAGGCTGGTCCAAAACACAAGAGCCTATAGGATCCAAGACAAGTTGGCAAATTGGATCCAAGATTGGCTTGCCTATAGGAGGCAAAAGGTGACGGTGGAAGGCTGCTTTTGTGGTTGGAACCCTGTGACCAGTGGTGTACCACAGGGATCGGTGCCAGTACCCTTGCTGTTTGTTATGTACCTTAACGATTTGAATATAAATCTACGTTGGCAGAAGACATGAAAATAGATGGCGTTGTTGACAGTGACAAGGATGGTCCCAGGCTACAGACTGATACTGATCAGCTAGTAAATTGGGCAAAGCAATGGCAGATGGAATTTAATCCCAATGAATGTGAGATGATGCATTTTGGGAGCTCTAATAAGGGAAGGACATACACAATGAATGGTAGGTCCCTAGGGAGTTCTGAGGAACAAAGTGACCTTGGTGTACAAATATATAGATCCCTGAGGGTGTCAGCATAGGTAGACAGGGTGGTGATATGCTTGTCTTCATTAGCCAGGGTGTAGAGTATGGGAGCAAGGAAGTCTTATTACAACTTCATAAAACATTGATTAGATCACAGGTGGAATACCGTGTACAGTTCTGGTCACCATGCTATCAGAAGGATGTGACTGTATGGGAGACGGTATGCAGGAGATTCACCAGGATATTGCGTGGGATGAAAAGTCTCAGTTATGAGGAGAGACTGGATAGGCTGGGTTTGTCTTCTCCAGAGCAGAGGAGGCTGACAGGGCAATCTACTGAGGTATAAAAAATTGAGAGGCAGAAACAGGGTAGATCATGAGAATCTTTCCCTATGGCAGATGCACCTAAGACCAGAGGGCAGATGTTTAAGGTGAGGAGCAATTGGTTTAGAAGGAATGAGGAAAATTGTTTTCACCTCGAGAGTGGTAGAAATGGGGAACATGCTGCCTGAGAGGATGGTGGAGGCAATATTTAAGCATCTGGATGAGCACTTAAAATGCCAGCGTTTAGTAGGCTACAGACCAAGTACAGGTAAATGGGATTAGTGTAGTTTGGTGTTTGTCATAGACGTTGAGAGCCAAAGGGTCTGTTTTTATGCTGTACGACTAATTAGGTAGGATACACAAATAATAAAACTATTTAAAGATTTAAAATACACCACTGTAACTAACTGTAAAAGCCAGAAAGGCACACTTTGAAATTAGGATATACCTAGAAGGGGACATGGAGATGACACACACAGACTATTAATCAACAGAGGAGTACTTAGCACAGAGAAAGAGGTATAATCCTCTTTACTCCATGAAAGGAGACCTGGAAAGAAACATGGTAATATCACAGGAAGGCATTAAAATAAGACCATGAGACCATAAGATTTAGAAGCAGAATTAAGTCATTCGGCCCACTGAGACTGCTCTGCCAATCAACCGTGGCTGATACGTTTCTCAACCCCATTCTCCTGCCTTGTCCCTGTAACTCAATCCCTTTACTAATCAAGGAACCTTCTATATCTGTCTTAAATATGCTCAGTGACTCAGCCTCCTCAACCTTCTGCAGCAATGACTTCCAAAGATTCACCACCCTCTGGCTAAAGAAATTCCTCATCTCAGTTCTAAAGGGTCGTCTCTTTACTCCGAGGCTGTGCCCTCAGATCCTAGTCTGTCCTACTTGTAGAAATATTTCCTCCACTTCTGTTCTATCTAGGCGTCTCAATATTCTGTAAATTTCAATGAGATTCTCCCCTCACTCTTCTAAAGTCCAAGTACAGACCCAGAGTCCTCAACCACTCCTCATATGTCAAGCCCTACATTGCCAGGGTCATTCTTGTAAACCTCCTCTCACCCCCTCCAATGCCAGCACATCTTTCCTCTTCAAAACTCCCACAATCTTCCAAATGCGGTCTGACCAGAGCCTTATACAGATTCAGCATCTCTGCTCTTGTACTCCAGACCTCTTCAGAAGAATGCTAACATCGGAGGAAGAATATGGGAACCACCCAACTGACAGGAGATGACAAAGATCTTTATCGTATGAATACCATTAGAGTGACTGAGAACACTCAGAAATCAAATATCTTGACTGATAAACCTTTAATGAAGGATTATTTTAAGATTGAACGAAGGAGCAATGAAAGTAACAGCTATATGAGAGCATAAAACATCAGAAACAAATCGGCTAGATAAAAGTTCACAACTGTGTAGTTAGGTAGGAGAAGCTACTTTGATGTAGGGGAGGTGGTGACATAATGGTAATGTCACTGGGCTAGCAATCCAGAACCTCCTTGTCTCTGATTCTCCAGCATCTGCAGTTCCTACTATCTCTGATTCAGTTTTAACCCCACTGTGAAGCCTCTTCTAAGGATGCTTACCCTGAAGAAGTTACCCTCCTCCCTCCGGACAAACCTCAGGGGATCTCTCTCCCACTGCAACTCTCTCGTAATCTCTTCGGCCTTGAAACTGCTCGACCATGTCCTGAAGCAAACCAGGTACTACAGCCACATCACCTACGGAACCAGATCACCTTTACTGGCTCCATCCCCGCCTCCTCGACCTGTGTTTCCTCTCCACCTATCCTCTCCTCTATCCATGTTCTATCCGCCTCCTCCTCTCTCCCTATTTATTTCAGAACCCCCTTCCCCTCCCCCATTTCTGATGAAGGGTCTAGGCCTGAAACGTCAGCCTTTCTGCTCCTATGATGCTGCTTGGCCTGCTGTGTTCATCCAGCTCTGCACCTTGTTGTCTAGCAATCCAGAACACCAGGTTAACAATCTGGGGACATGATTAAAAATCAGGAATAACGGTGCCCATGTTGATTGCTAATTGTCGTATAAAAACCCATCTGATTCTCAATCACTGATCAGAGGTTTAACGGACTCCAGGATACTACTTTGTAATGGGCCACAGTGCAAGGTTACAACCTGATGCTTTGTGAGCAAGAAAGGAAGGCATCACCCATTTAAAATTTATTCTGCCAGCAAGATCTCATTTGTATTTTAATATGGTTTGTAAATCAGGGAAGTCGTCAAATACAGCTGCCTCTATTTCGATTTAGTGTACATGTGCATTAAAAAATTTGCCATAGAAAGAAATAACTGATGGTTTAACCAAGGGGATCACCACACCGCAGTCGAGAGGTTATGAAAAAAAAAAGTGTTTCATGACAACTAGTGCTGGAATTGAACCCACGCTGTTGCTGTCACTCTGCATTGCCAACCCTCTACATGCATATGGAATCGTGATGTAACTATGCATACTCAATCTTTCATCAGACTGCTCCCTTCCCTCACTTGCCACTTCCCTTCTCTGCTGCCTCGCACTTTTGATTTCTCTCTCTGAACATATCCCTTGACTACTCCACTCCATCCCGCCCACCTTCAACCACCCCTCCCGAACCCTTGCTGCTACCGCTCCCCCCCACTCTTAGCCTGGGGCTCAGCATGAAAGATAAAATATCTAACAAAGTTAAAGACTGTGTATTAGATCAAAGGAGAAGGCTTGTGAAGTTCCTATGAAAAAAGTAGTAAGCCTGAGAATTGGGTGCATTTTACAATTCAGTAAAAGAGGACCAAGAAACTGACAGACAGAAAATGATTGTAAACTAACACAAAACATAAAAATGAACTATAAATGCCTCTACAGATATGTAAAAAGTACATTACCAAAGACAAATGTGGATCTATGACAGACAGAAACAGGAGATTTTATAATGGGAAATAGGGAAATAGCAAAGAAGTTAAATAACTGCTTCAAATCTACAGGGGTTCTGCTATAACACGATAGTTGTGATCCTGCACAACACTGCATTATAGAAAATTACACTATAGAAATAACGGGGTCTATGAGAAAAGTGGGGTTAGGGCCAAACTGCATGCAAGCAGTCCTTACTGACGTCAGCCCAGGCCTCCACAATAATGTCAATTGCACTCTTGATGTTAAAGCTCTTCCAAAATTGAAGAACACTGTTCTTATTCCCTCACTGGCTGTAATCAGGCACTAAGGGGAATAAGGAGAGAAGTTGTGTTTGGGGGTAGAAATAGCACTTTGATGTTTTCAGAAAGTTCACCAATGGAGGGAGGATGGCTTGGCACATTATCTAGGATAAGGAAAATCTTGAAATCCAAACTTTTTTTCTTCCAATACTTCCTAAAAACATCTTCCAGAACATTAACAATAAGGTCAGAAAAACTTTGCACCGTCGGCCAACCTCTTTTGCTTGACCTAAAGTAAACACCTAGAGTCAACCTAAGGTAACCTTTTAAGGCTCGTGGTTTGGCAGAGTGGTACACCACCACAGGCTTAAGCTTTAAGCCTCCACTAGTATTGACCCAACCAGCAGCACAGTCATACAATCATTGGCAACCTTAAAATCTGGAGCACGTGCTTCATTCATAGAAATGTAGATTCTTGATGGTATTCATTTCCAGTATAAACCTGTCTCATCCAGACTGAAAATTTGATCTAAGTTGTAGCCTTCTTTGTCAATTGAACTTCTTTTTTACTATGGGAGGAAATGCATCGCATGCTCATCTGCACTGGCAGCTTCGCCACATAACTTTACCTAAGTTACAAATGCCTCTATAGGTAGATAAAAAGAACATTACCAAAGACAAATGCCGGTCTATGACAAACAGAAACAGGAGATTTTATAACAGGAAATAGGGACATAGCAAAGAAGTTAAATAATTGCTTTGTATCTACTGTATCTCCGTGGAGGAAGACAAACAAAGTCGTTGTAGAGATAGTGGATACACTGGTGGTCATCTTCAGAATTCTCTAGATTTTGGAATGAATCACAGAATCACATAAGTGTTACAGCACAGGAGGAGGTCATTCAGCCCATCATGCACACACCTGCTCGTATGGGTGCCTACAAATTGCAAGGAGGCAATGTAACCCCACTACTTAGGGAAGTAGGGAGGGAGAATACAGAGATCATGAAGCCTATTATCCTGACATCAACTGTGGGGAAAACACTAGACTATACTATAGTGTATACTATAAAATAGTATAATGGAAGCAAAAACTGATCTGATAATAAATAATGATCTGTTTGCTGAAGTCAACACAGATATATGAAGGGGAAATCCTGTCTGGTAAACCTGTTCATTCTTTTTTCAGGTTACTAGCAGAGTAGAGTAAAATGAACCAGCTACTCATAACCTTAATCGATAATTCGGATACGGGAAGCAAATGCAATATTTCAAAGCTTGAGATGGCACAGAACTAAATGCTGGGAAGTTGATGCAAAGAAGTTTCAAAAACAATTTTGGCAGGCTGAGTGGGTAAGAATATGGCAGATGGAATGTAATGTGAGGTTTTCCACCTCAGTAGGAGGAAGAGAGGTGGTGCATTTCTTAAATGGTGAGACATTAGGAAGTGCTGATGTACAAAGGACCTGGGTGGCCTGGTTCATAAAGTCTTTGCATGTTAGAATGCAGGTGCAGCAGATAAGTAGAAAGGCAAATGGTATATTGATTTTTATTACCAGAGGACTGCAGCACAGAAATAAATTTGATTCTTCTCGGAACTCTGGTCATATTAGACATGAAATTTTAAATCTTTCCCCACAAATGCTACGAAAGCTGAGTTTCTCTAGAACTTTGCTTTTGTTTCATATCTCCAACATCAACTGCATATTGTTTTTAATGTTTTCCTTTGGTTGTTCCCAACAAACAAAGTACTAACCGTACTCAACCAAAGCTTACATGCAAAACTTGCTAGTGTCTAACATTAGACGTTTTTCTGCAAATGTTTCATAACCCCAAGTGTGCGAGGAATTACACTGACAACCAATTCAGGATTGTTAGTCAGGCACACAGTGTAGTATAACGGTATGTATTGGAAGTTACATATATTAATACACCAGAAGTATTTGCAGACAAAGTACCTTTTTTAAAAAAATTGATTCACGGGATGTTGGTGTCACCAGCTTGGCCAGCATTTATTGCTCAGAGAATAGTTAAGAATCAAATTGCTGTTGGATCTGGAGTCACATCCAGGCCAGACCAGGCAAGGGTGACAGATTACCTTCTAAGGATACTAGTGAAACTGATGGGTTTTTCCTGACAATCAGTAATGGTTTCATAGTCATCATTAAACTCTTAATTCCAGATTCTGATTGAATTCAAATTCTACAATCTGCTATGGCAGAATTTGAACCCAGGTCCCCAGAACACTACCTAGGTCTCTAGATTAATAATCTAGCAATAATATCACTAGGCCACCACCTACCCACTAAACATTCACTGGGCCTGTTTCAACTCAACAGAATGGGTTATGGCAATTCACTGGTTCACATCTCAGAGCAACACCTCGATCAGTGTCAACCTGTCTGGTTTAATATTTAAATAAAGCCTGGTTGTTAAATGTCAAATGTCAAATCTTAGGCAGCTTGCCTAGAGATTGTAGAATATGTATGGTAGAAAAAAACCCAAAAAGTGAGTGTCTGGAAATAAAACAAAAATCACATTCAAAGAGCAAAGATCACAAACACACACAGGGGTCAGAATGAGAATCAGTAAAAGGCCCCACAACCTTGGGCTTTGAGCCCTCAAGGGTGAGATTTTCAGCAGCAAAGGACACAAGATTTCATGTGCAAACTAGAATCATCCAGCATTGCAAAAGGTGGTACCAAGGAGATATAAACCATTTGAGAATGATTGGTGATGGCAAGCCATCCATGCTTGAGTAACAAGGAGTGGAAGAACGAAACTAAAATACAAAGCAACATCTAAGAACTTCATTAAGTGATAAAGAAAACACTTGACAGTGTAAACACTCAACCATACTTGTCTCAAACATGCTTGGGAGTGAAGAATATTGTTCCAACATATAAACAAACAAACTCAGTTGCATGTCAATGTTTGTACTGACCAAATAGCAGTACTTCATGGGCTAAAGCAACACATGTCAAACGATAACTGAACAAAAAAATCCATATAGATCCTCCCCAAAACATTGATTAAAGCAGTTGAACTCTAGCAGTCATGCTGAGGATGTGGGTCCAGAATGATAAAAGTTAGGGAATCAAAGGAATAGGCTTTGATAGGTAAAACATTGACATGCAACTGAGTTTGTTTGTTTATATGTTGGAACAATATTCTTCGCTCCCAAGCATGTTTGAGACAAGTATGGTTGAGTGTTTACACTGTCAACTTTACATATCATGCAAAATAGTGAATGCTACTGGCATGGTAACTTACTAATAGCTGGAGCGATACCTCCAACTGAACCCGGTCCAGGGATATTTCCAGCAACAGCTGCTGCTTGAGCAGCGGCTGCAGCCTGAGCAGTTGCAGCTTGTTGTTGCATTTGACGGTGACACTGACGCAAATCAAACACCTGAAACATAAACAAAAATAACAGATTCTAAACAGGTCAACACTTATTTAGAGAAGAAGCTCACAAATCCAAATTATCAGTACCTGCTGTCAAACACCATCCAAGACCTCTATAAATGTGCTCATGAATCTAACAGCACAGTTGCAAATTGGAAAAATAAAGCAACACCACCCCTCATGCCCCTGAGCCGGTGGAAAAACTCTTGGTGTTCACCCAGAATTTACGAAACGGGGAACCAAGTGAGTAAACCATGTACCATAGCTCAGTTCTATAATGTATATCTAGTTTTTAAACTTAAGCAGTTCTGAGGCTTGGGACAAAGTGTTAGTGTGTTTTTTTTTGTGTGAGGGAAGGCCGGGTGACTTGCAAATAAACTGACAATGTCATGTTTCGGTGCCAAATGTCAGGTGATGTGACACCAGCTATGTGGCAGAATGCCACATTTTTCAAAACAATAAAAATGAGAAATCCATTTACTACAGGATACGATATTAAAAGATCATTTTCAAAGAATCTTCCGTTAGATCGCAATTTTGCACGATTGTTATGCCTTGCTAGGGTAGCGTGCTAGAAATCAAGGCCCCGCTAATCCCAGGATCATCACAAAAGTTGAAGATCTTACCGAAGTACACAAAATTCCTCAACTTGCCTGCCTTTTTAGACTGAGGCTGACAGAAAGCACAGAACAGATTTCTGTACTTGACAAAATTTATTACATATAAATAGATTCTAGCTACAAGGAAATAAGTATGAACCGTCAACGTAACGACGGGTTAAAACTCAAACCCCTTACGAACTCTGCAACAAACACATTATAGATAGACACAAAAAAATTGTTGTTATGGGTGAAAGGCAAACCCGGAAAGGCAGTTAAATGGCCCCTGTTCACAAGGTTCACTAGGATGATCCTTTTGCTTGTCAGGACTTATTGTTCATCAACCTCTCGCTTCTTTCAGGTGGTTTCACTTCTTTGCAGGAGTGGTTAATTCACAAACTATAAAAGGTCTCTGGCTTGTTGGTTAAAAACTCCAGCTTAAAGCAAGTGGTGACAGAACAAACTGGTTTTTGTACACCGTTAGGTGTTTTTACTAAAAGCAAAAGGAAACCACTCCACTTCTTGGGGTCTGAAAACTTCCAGGCAATGCGGTTCCCACTTATGAGCTGTCCAATTGTCTGGGAGTCAGAGTTTTTGGTAGGAAGAAAGCCTTTGTCATCGACAACTAGCCACCATTTCACAGATCAATGGATTACTTGCTGCCAGCCACTGTTCTCATACCCCCGATTCGAGTTTACCTGTAACCAATCTTACGCTGCAAGTTGAACAAACAAGCATAAACAACACTTACAATACGTTGTGGTAACTTGTTTTTAAATGCAATCCCCTATACAATCCTTGGTTTCTAAATCAGTCCTTTCCCCATAAGACATAGGAGCAGAAGTTGGTCAGTAACTTATCAAGCCTGCTCTGCCATTCAATGAGACCATGGCTGATCTGAAAATCCTCAACTCACTTTCCTACCTTCTCCTCATAATCCCTGAATCTGTTGCTAATTAAAATTCTTTCAGCCTTGATTATTCTCAATGACCAAGCCTCTACAACTTTCTAGGTTAAAAATTCCACAGAATCATTGCTCTGATAATAGTAATTCCTTCACATCTGTTTTAATTGGATGACCTCTTACTGTGAGATGATGCTCTCTCATCCTAGAATCTTCCACAAGTGGAACCAATTTTTCCACATCTACCCTGTTAAGTGCCCTAAGAAACTTGTATGTTTCAAAAAGGTCAACTCTCATTCTCCTAAACTCCAATGATTCCATGCCCAACTGAAACAACCTCACCTCATAAGACAGTCTTTCCATACCTGGGAAACAGTCTACTGAACCTTCTCTGGAGTGCTTCCAATGGCAGTATACATTTCCTAACAGAAGAGGCACAAAATTGTTCACAGTATTCCAGCTGTGATCTGACTAGTGTCTTACATAGTTTTAGCGAGGCCTCACTAGTTTTTACTCCATTCCCTTCAAAATAAAATCCAACATTACACTAGCCTTCCCAAATAGCTGAAGCTATATACTAGTTTTTTTGTGATTTATGTGCAAAAACTGCAAATCTCACTGTGCTGTGGGTTTCTACAGTCTTTCCTCATTTAAATAATAACAGGAAGAATAGAAAAGCTGATTAAGTACACAATCTCACATTATATTCCATGTGCCATGCTTTTACCCATTCGCGTAGCCTGTCTATATCCCGCTGCAAACTCTGTCATCCTCAGCACTTGCCAACAGGCGTGTGTCAGCCACAAAATTTGGTTATAGTATATTCACTTTCTTCATCCACGTTCTTACCAATTTCAGTCTCCATAATCAAAAATACAGAAAAGTAAAAAGATACAGTCTTTACACCCGTCAACAGTCATACACAAGAACTTGAGGCACTGGGTTCAGTGTAACATTGACAACAGCTAGCAGTAGCAGTCTGTTAGGTGCATCAGTATCACTTCTTCTCTGCAAAGTTGTAGCTGTGTTCATCCATAACGCTATTCTGGTGCTTAGCAAGCAGAACGTGCAAAGTAACAACAGGTTGGTCAGTTCTTTAGGCACTAACCACTGATACATAAACGATTTTTTATGATCTATTGTTGATTACCAATTGATACAGATTAACAGATTAACAGATATTGCACATTAGGGACGAATAGCGTTGTCCAAGTTTTAGAAGAAAACTAGGACTGGTAGTAAACATTTAAAAGCGAATCTGCAAACTAACTAATGCACTAATGGAGTTGAAGGTTGGATGTGAGGGGTACAATATCAATTATTTGGCCCACATCTACAGTTAAGTTGCTGGTGCCAAGTTAAACTATTAAAACCTAGTCAAGCAGCTGTGCAAAGCTGTTGATGGAAAAGAATTTTTTTTAAACAAGCTGGATGATAGCTACCAGGCTAGTGGTTCTTCCTCTTTGTCATTCGGAGGTAATTTATTGCCATTTGTCATCCTTTTTCCTCAGTCTATGCTTGTACAGCAATTCAATACTGAAGGTGGCCATTCAGTCCAATGGCCTCCACCAACTCAAATAGTCCTATTACCCTGCTCCTTTCTTAAAGTGAGACATATATTTTTTTCTCTTCAACAATGTAAACTGATTTCCTTAATTTCCTGTTTAATTCAAGAAAGTCCACATCTAACTTAGCACCTATTAAAACACAAGTTCATTTGCGCCTGGGAGAAAGGTAAGGGATTCTTTTCAAATTAACCAATTGACAGAAGGTTAGTGAATAAAGAAGGGGAGCCAGTTGTCTGTCATTTTGAGGACACTGCTTGCTCAAGAAATACAATATTGAGATGCTCTTTCAAAAGAACCCTGAATTGATGTAGAACTTGTTCTTAGCAGGCTTTCCTCTTTACACTTGTGTTATGAACCAGAAGCAGGAGTAGGTCATTAGACCTCAAGCCTACTCTGTCATTCAATAAGATCATGCCAGATGGTAGTCTTAAATCTACATTCCCGCCTACCCCAATGACATTTCAACAGCATGCTCAACAAAAATCTATTTACTCCTGCCTTAAAGTTATTCAAGCACACTGCCTCTACCACCTTTGCAGGAGAATTTCAAAGACTCATAATCCTCAGAGAAATATTTCGCCCAATGTGTTGCAAATAGGCAACCTTTAATTTTTAAACAATGATCCTCGTTTTAGATTCTCCCCTAAGAGGAAGCATCCTCTCCATATCTCCCCTCTCAAAGTGCTTCAGGATCTAGCAAGTTTCAGGAAACATTTTTAAAGAAACCATTCCAGCTATGTATACAAAAGTCAGAGTCATACAGCTTAGAGGCCCTTTGGCTCATCAAGTCTGCACTGAGCTACCAACACTAATCCCACTTTCCAGCACTTGGTCCATAGCCTTGAATGCTATCAATTTTTCAAGTGCTCACCCACATATTTTTTAAAGGCAGTGAAGATGCCCACCTCAACCACCCTCCCAAGCAGTACAATCCAACTTCTCATCACCCTCTAGGTGAAAATGATTTTCCTCAAATTCCCTCAACCTCTTGCCCCTCATTACTGACCATTCAACTGAGAGGAATAGCTACCTTCTATCCACCTCATCCATGCTCCTCATAATCCCGTATCAGGTTGCCAATCAGTCTTCTCTGCTTTAAAGAAAACAACTCGAGCTTATCTCTTCATTGCTAAAATGCTCTGACCCAGACAACATCCTGGTGAATCTTCTTTGCACGGCCTCAAGTGCAGTCATCTCCTTCCTAAAATATGATGACCAGAACTGCAGAGTATTCCAGCTGAAGCCTACCAAAGTTTTTTTATGCAACCCCAATATAACATCCCTGCTGTTATAAACTTAGCCACCACTGACAAAAGCGAGAGCTCCAAATGTATTTTTAACCACACTATGTCTTCAAGGATCTGTGTACAAGCACCCCAAGATCCCTCTGAGCTTCTGTCTCCTGCCATTCATTCAGTCTTCCCTTGTCTTGTTATTTCTTCCAAAAGGCATTATGTCACACTTTTCAGGGTTAAATTCCATCTGCCCCTGATCTGCCCATCTGACTAATCAATCTATATTCTTCTGCAACCCAAGACATTGTTCCACACTGTCAACCACCTGGCCAATTTGTCTCATCTGCAAACTTACTTATCACCACCGTCCCACATTCACATCTATAATGTTTATATATATCATGAACAATAAGAGACACAGCACTGTTCCCTGTGGAATGCCACTGGACACTGGCCTCCAGTTACAAAAGCACTCTTCAACCATGAAGCCAATTTTAACATGACTTTGTATTTCATGTGCTTTTACCTTCTTCATCAGTCTCCCATGTGGGAACTCATTAAAGGCTTTACTAAAATCCATATAAACTACAGCACTACATTCACTGACACACCTGATCACCACTTCAATAAAAAAATCAAACTAATTTGTTAGGTATGACTTCCTTCCGACAAAGCCATCCTGACTATATCCCTGATCAAACACTGCCTCTTCGAGTATACATTAATTCCCTCCTTCAGAATTTTTAGTTTTCCTACCATTGACCCGAGACTCATTGGTCTGTAATTCCCTGGTTTTCTCTACCACCTTTTTGAAAAATGGAACCACAATGGCTGTGTCCAGTTCTCTGACTCTACCCATGGCCAAGGGAACCAAACATTTAGGTTAGAACCTTATAATTATCTTCCTCACCTCCCACAGCAGCTTGGATTGCAACTCATCCAGACCTGTGGTTTGTACATTTTCAAGCCCACCAAAACTTCCAATACCTCCTCACTCCCATGTTAATCTACTCAAGAACCTCATCACCCCCTTCCCGAATTCTGTACCTCCATCCTCCTCCTCCTCCTGAGTAAAGTCAGACGTGAACTACTTGCTTAATAGTCTACCAATGTTCTCCAGTTCCACACACAGACTGCTCCCCACCTTGATCCCTAAACGGCCCTGCTCTTTCCCCAGTTATCCATTTTCCCTTACACTTGTATAATACCTCGGGATTCTCTCTAATTTTACCTCAGTGTTTTCTCATGTCCCCTCTTTGCTCTCTTAATTGCTTTCTTAAGATCTGTCCTGCAATTTCTATATTCCACCAGGGCCTCCATTGATTTGCTTCCTTTGTACTCTTCAGGAGAGATATTAGGAAGCACTTTGCCCAAAGGGTGGTAAATGTTTGGAACTCTCTTCCGCAAATGGCAGTGGATGCAGGATCAGTTGTTAATTTTATTTCTGAGATGAATAAAGTTTTGTTAATCAGAAGTATTAAGGGATATTGGAAAACGGTAGGTACATGGAGTTAAGCCACAAATCAGACATGAGCTCACTAAATGAAGAACAGGCTCAAGGGCTGAATGGCCTACTCCTGTTCCTATGTACCTGCTAAAAAATTCTCTTCCTTCCTCAAACTTGAAGTGAAGTTCTTTTTATCCATAATCGTTTAATATTAAATATAAAGCAGACGTGATTCAGTTAACAACACAGCATAACAATTCAGTTTCCCATTATCCCTACTAAAACACTCATCTCACATATATATGCATGTTAAATTGCGTCAGACACATGTCTGCCCACTTCTCTAGCCTATATTCCGCTGAAGACTGTTATTGCCGTCACTGTTCATCACATTTGTTCCAATTATCAAGGTGCTCATCCGTAAAGTGCATACATTTTCAGTCTATCTACAAATTGAAGCTAAGTTAAAGCTAACCTCATAAACCACAATGTCCAACCACCACTGTTTGCTTTGCATTGTGACATTTCTTTTTAAAAAGTTTTGCTCACATTTGATTTCCCAACTCAATAGCAACTAAAATATAGGAAAATTGCCCTAAGGTTCCATGGAGGTATGATCATTCAAAAAATCCACCAACCAAAGAACAAAGTAGGTTTAGAGAAGGAGGACATCATGTAGCAAAGGGATTTGAGCAGGGAAACCAGAGGGCAAGCTTAATTAATTGAAGGCATCAATTGTGTAGTAAGGGAAAAAAGGCAGGATGCACAAGAGGCCATTTGTAAAACACAAAAATTGGGGAAGAAAAGTATTGTACCAGAAAGAGTTCTGGATGATATGAAGTTTATGGATGGAGAATTTGGGGGCCAGGCAAAGCAAATATTGAGATAACCAGATCTGCAGGTTTCAATAGCATGGAAGAGAGCTTTAGCAGCAGGTGAGCTAAGGTTGGGAGAGAGGCAAGTGATGTCAAGAAAATGACAATTATATATTTACTGCTGTGATCAAATTATTCTTTTGACACTTCATCCAGTTCTGGTCAGCAAGAAATAAGGGAATTACAACCCTGCAGGCTATACAGAAGAAAACTAAGCAGCTACTTCCCAGTGCCATTTGTATGGCAGGATGGATGGGACGTAACTCATCGCCTTGCAAAGAGCCATCTAATCTCTTACAAGTATGCAAAATTAAGCTACAAAACAAACATAAAATATTGCAGGTGCTCAAAATGCAAAATAAAATGAGAAAATGCTGGAGATATTCAGCAGTTTATACAGCAGTTGTGGTGAGGCAAACAGAGGTAACATTTCAGTTTGATGAATTTTCACTGGAACTAAGTACAATTAAAAATGTAACACATTTTAGTCAAATGAAAGAAGGGAGGGAGGGGAAAAAGAACAAAAAATGTAACATGTGAGATAGGTTGAGAGACTGGGAACAGAAAGAGTGATGGTACAGTGCCAAAGCAACAAGTAAAGAAACAAAAAGTGTGCCCAGAAGAACTGTGAACAACAAAATAGCGAACAGCTCCACGCAGAAGTGAAGGAAAAAACGCAACTAAATCAAAAAATTACAAAGAAAAAGAAACAAAAAGGGGTAATAGATAATGGTCTGAAATTGTTGAACCCAATGTTAAGTCTAGAAGGTTATGAAGTTCCTGACATCCTTGAGATTATCTGCCTTCAATTTGCTTTGATCTTCACTGCAGGAGGCAGAAAACAGAGATGTCAATGTGATAGACATAGTTAATCCGTGAACAGGGAAGGCAAAGTTGAAGGTAGGTATTCCAACTACTTGGGAAAATGCACTGATTCCTAAGTCTACCAATCCCAGGGTTATCACAAAATTAAAGATTCAAAGTACTCAAGTTCCATAATTTACCTGCCTGATGGACTCAGGTTAACAGAAAATGCTGACCAGGTTTTTGTATTTAACTATTCATTACAAATAAGTAAATTCTAAGCACAGATACATAACTATGGAGTACCAACATATAACTTTACTAGTTAAAACTCTAATGCTATTTTAAACTCCTGCACACACATACAGACAGGCACAGACAAACAGATAAGAATACTGGTATTACAGGTAAAGAGGAAAAAAGGACGGAAAATACAGCTCAATAGCGCTAGTCCAGTGGGTTCAATGAAACGTTCCTTTTGCTTCCCAAGACTGTTCTCTTCAAACACCTTTTTCCAGGTTCTTTCATTTCTTTGCAGGAAGCTTATGACAACTGGTACACTCAGTACAAAGTCACTTTGTTGCTGCCTACAGCAACTGTTTTGTGTGTGTGCGCGTGTGGGGGGTGGGGGGGGGGGGGGGGGGGGGGGTGGGGGGGAGAGAGGTGGGGTTGTCGGGGTAGAGAATGGGGGAGTAGCTTTCTTCAGATTCTTTTACATAGAGACACAGAACCTGCTCTTCTAACAGTCCGAAGCCTTCTCCCAGTGTATCGTTCACACATAGCTGTTCAGCTGCCCAAGGACAAAACAGAGAGTTGTTCTCAGGCTGATGGTCTATAGCATTCACAACTGTTCATAATTGCAAAAATTAACCAACTACCAGTTGCTGGCTGGATCTCAATGTGTATACACCCAGGTGGCATCTTATCCCCTATTGCCTGGAAAGCAGCAATTTAAACACAACATTCAATGAGTTCCAGTAACTTATTTTCAGAAGTGCAGCAGTTCCTGCACAGTCCTTGATTTCAGAATAGTCCTTTCCCCATTTCAGTCCACAATCAAAAATGCAGAAAAATAAGAAGATGTGGTCTTTACACAGGCAAGAAAAACAGAAGGAAGAACAAAACTGTGAATAATATTTTAGGCAGAGTGTATCTGTATTAAGTACTTAAAAGCATTTTTAAAATATATCCAAGCATACAAGAATGCAAAAGAAGATTTAACAAACCTTAATGTATGCACTTGGATAAATCTTGTGAACTGCATCACCGGGAGCACGTCCAGCTTCTCGATCCAAATAGTAGCTCTGCACAAAGACAGCATGATCACTCAAACACCGTACCCAGACATCACCTTCCCCTTTGCACTCTAGCTGCACACCTTTTCCAATATGCAACCTGACAGCAAAAGAAAAAGAGAATGAAAAGATTGAATTAAAATCTCACGTTGAAATATGATCAGTCTTGAAAGATTTCAGAACATCCCCATCCAACTTCCATACATTTCATTTACAACTACCCCTCTCAGACGCCAAAAATCATATCATTTGCACAAATTTTAAAAACAATGGAAATCCAGCACTGTTGAACAGCCATTCTTTTCTACATTGCTGTGTAGCTTTAAACATCTTCCTATTTATCAAAAACATAATGCAGTCAAAAAATGAAAACTTTACAACTGTGATATAGTTTGTTAAATGACTTGAAAATGAACTGGTTTCCCATGACATTACAAATGTACTGGCTGTGAACCAACCACAAATGGGAAATCTCAAGTTAAGAAAAATAGTCAAAACAATGCTGGTTGGAAGTGAAGAAACCAAGTGTACTGCCAACAGTCAGAGAACGCACATCCTACTTCCAGCAGGTTTGCTTTGTACATCCCACTGGGACATGCAATCTGGCTAAAACACATTAGTTTCACTGCTTCAATCAGGCAACTGGTGTCAGCCTCATTAAATTCTAGGAATCTTCGTTGTTTTTGGGCACATAATCTGATTGAGCACTGAAGTCTAATACACCCATTTACAATAAACAAAATTGCGCAACTTAAGTTTTGTGCCCAGAAATTATGTAATGCAAATGAATAAGTAGATGTTTCACATATCTGCTGTATTAGCTGGTGTGAGCAAAATAGTCAAATACATGGATCCTAAGGACCATATTGTTGAGAGTAAAGTGGAAGGGTTTAAGACAGGGAATTCAAGTGCTACGGGCATACGAGGGTGAGGCTATTATTAGTAGGTAATGGATGGGGAAATGTCCATAAGAAGTCTTAGTAAGAAGTGCACTGGGGGCAGGTGACATTGTAGAACTAAAGGCAAAAGAAAATGACAAGGCGAAGGTCATGAAGTTACTCAAATATGTTACTGCTTAATAAAGAAACCTGTCAAAATTACATGCAGTCGGTCAGTCCAGATCCGGAGGCCTCATTAACACAGATCAGTTGCACAGGTGGTGATCAAAGTAGTAATTTCTAGGAATTCCTCTCATAAGACTACAAATGCATGTGTGTTCAGAGACATTTCAATATTGCAAGTTTCACTCTTCCTTCCCACTAAAAGTAGCAGGAACTAAGATATATAATGAACAAAAACAAAGTTGCTGGAAATGCTCAGCAGGTCTGGCAACATCTGTGGAGGAGAAAACAGAGTTAACATTTCGGGTTCGGTGACCCTTCCTCAGAACAGTTCTGAGGAACGGTCACCGAACCCGAAACGTTAACTCTGTTTTCTCCTCCACAGATGCTGCCAGACCTGCTGAGTTTTTCCAGCAACTTTGTTTTTGCTCCTGATTTACAGCATCCGCAGTTCTTTTGGTTTTTATCGAAGATATATAATACTGGACAACAAGCAAGATTTCCTTTAGTGTTGCTGAAATTTTTCTGAATTAAAAGATATTAGATATGGACCTAGAAGGCTGAGGGGTGACCTTATAGAGGTTTATAAAATTATGAGGAGCATAGTTAAGATGAATAGTCAAGGTAGGGAGTCCAAAACTAGAGGATATAGGTTTAAGGTGAGAAGGGAAAGATTTAAAGGGACCTGAGGGGCAACTTCTTAGCACAGAGGGTACAGTTTATAAAGAAGCTGCCCGATGAAGTGGTAGAGGTGAGTACAATTACAACATTTACAAGACATTTGGACAGGTACATGGATAGGAAAGGTTTAGAGGGATATGGGCCATTTGCAAGCAGCTGGGACTATTTCAGTTTAGGAAACCAGGTTGGCATGGACAGGGTAGGGGGAGGGGCAGTGAAGGGTCTGTTTCTCTGCTCTATGACTCTATACTATGACACGAGGTTTCAACAGCATTACACCACAATATTTTATTGAAATGTAATACTCAAGTCCAATAAATTGCATTCAAGACATTCTTCCATTGCTTCCCCGAACATTTCATTTTACCTGGCTCTTTCAATAGCTTCTGTTCTATGAACATTGGAAAGTTGGCCAAGACAAAAGCGGTCACCCCCAGAAGGATCCACATATCCATCAACAGTAACCACAGGACAGCTGGATGGCACTTTGAATGTTTCTCCAACTTGCACATCCATCTCGAAGTAAGCAATTGAACACCAGTATTCAGGAACTAGAAATTGGATTACAGATTATACATCAAACCATAAAGTCTGTCTACAAATCAAGATACTTGTATTTAATACTTTTGAAAACACGAATATTTCAGCAAGAAAGAAAAAGCTGATTTATTTCATACCCCAACTGACAATTAGAAAACCTATGATTGAATACATTTAAAATGCTCTAATTTTGAAATGACAAGATAAAAATCACAGGACCAAGGACCTCATGATTGATCGACAGCACAATTCACCTACTTAAAGCACTGAACTTTGGTTGTGCAAAAATGTGGTTAAAGATCGTTAAAAGGCAGAGCAGGTTCAAGGGTCTGAATGGTCTATACTTTCTCCTTGTTCATGTACAAAAAGATAGAAAAGGCACACTTAAGTAATGCAAAAGTTATTACTAATTCTCTGTTCTTTCACCTACTGGTGAAACTCAAACAACAAAAGGGGAGAATCCAGACAGTCTACAGCTTGCAGGGCGCTCACTTCATTCATAACCACTTTGTGTTTATGAAATTTGGGTTTATAACCCATGAATTTTAAGGGTGGATATGTACATGCATACTTTTTTCTGTAAAACCCATTGGAATCTCAAACATACGAAATAGGAGCAGTAGTAGATTATTCAGCCCCCCCGAGCCTGCTCCAGTATTCAACACAGGGAGGAGACAGCAGATTGTTAATGTCACTGGACCAGTAATCCAGAACTCCAGGTTAATGTTCTGGGGACAAGGGTTCGAATTGCACCATGCAGACAGTTAAATCTGGATTCAATAAAAAAATCTGGAATAAAAAGCTAGCCAAATGGCAACCACATAACCGCTGTCAATTGCCATAAAAAACATCTGATTCTCTAATGTTCTTTGGGGAAGGAAATTTGCCTTCCTTACCTGCTGTAGCCTACACATGAATCCAGACCCCCAGCATGTGGCTGTCTCTCTGAGCCAGAGATCAGACAATAAAAGCTTCCCTCAACAGTGATGCCCACAACCAGTGAATGAATATTTAAACAAAAATAAAATCATGGCTCATCTCAAGAGACTGCAAGTCCTCAATTAGGCACCTTATAAATTCTGTCAGCATTGGGTTTAATAATTTCAAAGAGAACAACTACTTTGTTTTAAGATAGGCATTGATATTGGTTCTTCTATTGCCAGTTATAGTTCCTCTCGAGACTTTACTTGATCTACTGTGTTTTGCATCATCAGCCCGCTGACATTTACTCACTTCTGCTCTACACCAAAACACAAGACATTTTTCTTCTGATCATCTCTGACCAAAGACAATTACATTTCTATAGAATTCTAGCTCTAACGAATGGTCATCAATCTGAAACATGAAGACACTTATTCTGAAGAGTGGCTCCACCCTTTCTTTTCACGACAGAAAAATGCTCTACATTTCTAAAAGGAGTTTCCAATCAGATTTCCTTGAGAAATGTGGAGCCATATTTCTATTCAGGCAGTTGTCATATAGCGTAGACCAAGTCTCTTTTTCACTGTAGTCAGCTGTTCTGAAATTTAAAGGTCCACTTTGATAACTGCTGTCAAAAGGTAAATACATAAAGTCACTGAGAGAGTACTGGGAAGGTAGTGTGCCAGAGTGCAAGGTAATAAGTGGGCATTAGGTTGTGCAATGCTTAGGGTGAATCAGGGTGGGTTGCAGAAATCAGATCAGTTGGGGTACAGGGTAGGATGGGTGTCAGGTCCGGTGAGGCAGTGAGTGTTGGGTGCCAGCGGGGTGGGGGACAGTGGAGACAGATCAGGCATCAGCTCCCATGGGTATGATGAGAAGGTTGGGATCTGGGGTGTGGTGAAGAAAGGTAACAGTCTGGGAGGTTAAGTGGTCCATGGGAGATGTAGGTGCAGGTCTGTGAGCTAAGTGTAGGTTCAGTTGAATAGCTGAGTTAGACTAGGCATTTAATCATCAAACCTACCTTCACCTAAACCTCATCCCATTTCCTGCTCTGCTGGACATGACCTCCCTTCCCCTACTCCAAAACCAAGTGTATTTGCCACCCCCAACTTCACCTACTCTGGCCCTGACCCACCTTCAACCTAGCAATTATTTATTTAATTTTATCTGCACCTTCAGGTTTAAATGGAGACTTTCAGAACGTTCCAGGTACAGGGGAATTACTAAGCAGGACAATTTCAGGACAATTCCTTCAGAGCCTGTGACAGACAGTAGGATTTCGCAGGGCCCCCACACACAACTCTCAATTATACCTGAATAACGGCAATCAAGCCACCAGAAACTCTGGGCTATTAACATTGTTTGCTCTTGCCATAAATGCTGCCTGATCTGCTAAATATAGCTAACCTTGTGTTTTTAATATTGTAGATTTTGTTAGGTAAGGGTATTAAAGGATATTAAACGACAACCCACGAATGGAGTGGAATTAAAATTCACCGTGCCTAAATGAGTAGACCATGACCCAAAAGGTTTATTTCTGTTCTGAAGCGAAATGAAAGGTTTTGTTTAGAGAAGTTTTATTCCATCTTTTTGTTACAATTAAAATTTGCTTTGTTTAAAGAAAGAATTCAATCTGGGACAAAAGCGAGGATGCTTGATTGAGAAAAACTGCATTTTAAATGGTAAATATAAACAGAAAATGCCAATAATATTCACTTATGAGGAAATGTTATAGACTTGAAATTATGGGCAGAATATAATACACACTCAACCATAATCCAACTCTGAAAGCAACTCCAGAGACAGTTGGGATGAAGCGGTGGGGTTTGTGAGATGGGGTGAATGGTGACCCTGCTTCCCTCCCATCAATCAAGTCCGGAGCTGCAGGGCTGCCCAAGAGATTTCCGCCTGGAAAGCAAATCGAGACCCTTAAGGTCCTCATCCCTCCAACAGTATTTAACAATAGTGGACAGAGAACATGCCATACGGAGTGGCCACTCAGTGGGTGTTCCTGCAGCCTGCCTTTGGGACAGGAAGAATCTTCCTTGGTTAAAGGCACACTCTGCTCGTATGAGGGACCTGACATCAGAAGGGTAGTCCTCACAGGAAACCAACAATTCCCATTCTTCCTATTAATACCCTTCCCTGTCCACTCCTGCTACTGACCCCTTTCCCTTGACCTACAGCTAATTTACACACGCCTCTATCTGAGAGTCCATAGGCAATCCTCAAGGCAGGCCCCAATAGTAGTGGCACAGTCACTAATAGAGCTATGGTCTCTAATTGGTTGCTCAGAGCTTGATTGCAGGGTGGTCAATGCAAAGTGTCTGATTCTCTGGAAATTGCACAGGCCTCCTAAGGAGAAGTGACACTGGATTCCTCTAATTACTGCAACTGATGGGTGAGATGCACGTCATCATATTAAATTTCAATCATCAACTCTTTCTCACACCACAGATGCTGCCTGCCTGGAGTATTTCCAGCATTTTCTGTTTTAGTTTCAGAACTTCGACATCCACTGTACTTTGCTTTTGTAATTTATATTAAATACTGACTCACTGCAAAAGTTATTTGGGTTTGTATCATAATTGGTTTTTGCAATTTATATCTTGATTTTCTAAATGAGCCATTGCAACGCATATACTTGTTGTTATTCAAATTAGCTTGTCCAGTACTTGATAGACAGACACAAACTACTCCAGGAAACAGTGCTTCCTTCTCAAACACTTATTATACGCAACTTCAAAACGGTGAAGACAACCCCACTCCCATGGCAGGAAGCCAATTAAGGTAGTAAGGAAGTAATTAATAGATAGTTTCCCCATACTTTCTAATCTGTTCAGAGTTGACCAGCACTAGCAGTTCACAGGTGGTGAGCATAGTTGGAGGTCCTTGTCATTTGACGTTTGCATTAATCTGACCTTAACTGTTGAAAATAAAGATAATTCTCAGGCTCGTAGCTGATATTGCAGTAGTCTGTCACAGGAATTTTCTCAAAAGTATAAATAATTTCTGAATACAGTATAAGTACATTACAAAACAGTTTAAGTCAAATATTTACAAAATAGTTCAAGTCAGAGATTATTGAAAATACAATAAAATGATCACATTTCTCATTGAATTATTAGGTTCCTTCGTCAAATTGGAATAGTTTGCTAAATATGACCATAAACCATTTATATTTGAATAAAAGCCACAAGGTGTCTGAAAGTTAACAGACCCTTGAGATATCAGGGCATACATGTCTTCTTCCACTGCACCTTAGCGGAATCTGTCCCATGCTACTGTGCATCCCTCGGCAAAGTCCTGGATCTTGCAATGTGCGAATCAAGGAAATTCTTTGCACCGGAAGATCAACGTGTTTCGGGCTGACCAAAACAGGATTGTTCATAAAGTCAATGCCCTCCAGATATAGCTGATGCTGTCTCAGTGTGCGTTCCAGGGAACTGCCCGTACAGTAGAGGTCTGTCACAGAGCTGCTTGATACAAATCTCAACAAAACCCACTGTTTCTCTTCCTAGAACTTCGTTGCAAAGGCACATTCCAGATGGAGAAGCATGATGCTCTCTTCATCACTGCAGTCACTCCAAGGGCTGCGTAAGGTGGTGCAGAGAATCCAGGCATGCATGAAAGATTGGATGGGCAGTGCCCTCCCTTTTCATCACCAATCAAGCAAGCGATATGCTGCTACTGAGAGAGATCAGGTCAAATAAAAGCCTTCTGTAACTGTCAGCATCATTTACCCTATGTCCTCGTAACTGGAACTGCACTCCCACTGCTGCCAGAAAGAAAGGTGCAAGCATGCTTCATCTCAGTTTTACTGGCTCTTCTGACTCCTCAGCTCACCTAATTCGATGGTGATCACAGAGATATCTTCTTAATCGGCCTTGTCCAGAAAATACATGCCTAGTGTTCTGCCATCAAGCCTGCACTGACAAAAACCACTCTAGTATTTTCCAGCACCCCATAACCTTGAATTTACCATTACTTCAAGAGCCTATTCGAGCACTTTTTAAAGGTTGAGCGGTTTCCTCCACGTATGTCTACAAAAGTCAGTGATATTGAAGATGACCTTTGGGGAGTCCATGCTGTCCAATCTACACTAATTACACTTTTGTGC